CACGCCTGTGTCCCATGTGTGCCACCCTGTGCCCTGAGTGTGCCCAGTGTGTGTCACCCCCTGTCCTGGGTGTGCCCGGTGTGTGTCACCCTGTGCTCTGCCTGTGTCCTGCCTATCCCACCCTCTACCTTGCGTGTGCCTTGCGTGTGACATCCTGTGCCCTGCATGTGACCCTCGTGTGTCCCCCTGTCCCCTCGTGTGCCCTGCATGTGCCACCCCCTACCCTGGGTGTGCCCGGTGTGTGTCACCCTGTGCTCTGCGTGTGCCATCCTGTCACCTCGTGTGCCACCCTGTGCTCTGTGTGTGTCACCCCGTGTCCTGTGTGTGTCACCCCGTGTCCTGTGTGTGTCACCCCGTGCCCCGTAATGTGTCACCCTGTGCCCCACATGTGTCCTGTGTGTGCCACCCTGTGCTCTGCGTGTGCCCTCCTGTCACCTCATGTGCCACCCTGTGCCCTGCATGTGTCACCCTGTCCCTTCGTGTGCCCCGCGTGTACCACCCTGTGCTCTGCGTGTGCCACCCTGTGCCCTTTGTGTGCCACCCTGTGCCCTGAGTATGTCCTGTGTGTGTCACCCTGTGCCCTGTGTGTATCCTGTGTGTGCTACCCTGTACCCCGCGTGTGCCACCCTGTGCCCTGTGTATGTCACCCTGTGCCCCTCCTGTGCCCTCCCGTGCCCTGCGTGTGCCATCCTGTACCCTGCGTGTGCCTTGTGTGTGACATCCTGTGCACTGCGTGTGTCACCCTGTGCACTGTGTGTGACCTGTGTCCTGCCCCCCTGTCCCCTCATGTGCCCCCCTGTCCCCTCCTGTGCCCCATGCCCTGTCCCCTGGTGTGCCCCCCCATCCCCTCGTGTGCCCTCCTGTCCCCTCGTGTACCACCCCGTGCGCTGCGTGTGCCACCCTGTACCCTGCGTGTGCCTTGCGTGTGACATCCTGTGCCCTGCGTGTGCCACCCTGTGCACTGCATGTGACCTGTGTCCTGCCCCCCTGTCCCCTCGTGTGCCCCCCTGTCCCCTCCTGTGTCCCCCGTGCCCGTCCCAGACCCCGCAGTTCCCCCAGGCAGGGAGGGCTCAGTGACTCGCGGCCAATTCAGGATTGCACTGGCAGCTGCTCAATAGTTTGGATGAAGAGGAGATGCTCCTTAAAAGCGTTTGAAAACACTTAAAATGACAAAACGCTGGGCGGATGAAGATACAAACGCAGACAAGATGTTCTTCGTGTTTCAGCTTTTTTTTAAAATGTTGTTTGGTGATCCTTGTTGTTGTTGGACTGGGAGCAGGAATTTCACATCTCCCGGAGCATTAACCRTTCCCGAAGCACAGGGTCCGGGCTGTGCGGGCTCTTTCCAGTGCAGCACAGGGGGACAGGGCTCTCTTATCCTCCCCTGGCTTTTCCTGGGSTCTCCAGGGTGTTTGGAGCAGGGTGAGGGCTCCCCGGGCACTGCCAGGGATGGACACTCCATTCCCAGCTCAGCACTGGTTTTGTGGGCAGTTGGAGCTGGGGATCCCTGCCCGGCCCCGGCAGCAGCAGAACCWTCACCCCAAACCCTCTGCTCACCTCTGCTCTCCCCTCTTTCAGGCCGTGGAGCTGACAGCGTTCAAACCCTCAGGTAACATTTTTCTCCATCACTTTCTGWAATATTTGCTGCTGTCGGTGCTGTTGTTTCCTGTGGCTGTGTTGGAGGGCTGCCCAGGGGGCAGCTGCTTTCTGCTCGGGCTAAAAATTGTATTATTCCTAAAAATTGTATTATTCCTAAAAATTGTATTATTTCCACACTGCCCTGATGGGCCCTGTCCTGCACAGGCTGGTGGCAGCTCCGTGCCCCCTGAGCAGAGGGAGATGTGACAGAAAGTTCTGGGGGTGCCATGATCCCGGAGGAGGGAAGATGAGGAAGGTGGGCTGTTCTGACAAGGCTGGATTTATTAAGATTAAAAGCAGCCATTTAGCTTCTTCTGTTTCAGGTTGTAGAAAGGCCAATGTCACCATGGAGGTGGGTAGAATTAAAACCAGAAATCCCTCCTAAGCCCCAGAGCTGTKCTTGATGGCAGCTCCCTGCTACCTCCTCAGCTCCCCAGCCTGGCTTTGGGCGAGTCCCCAGCACCTCAGGATATAAAGGGAGCATATTCACCTTTATTTTCTTTAAAACCACTGCTGGGTACTCCCAGTGCAGCTTCTGGATGGGAACCCTCAGGTGGGCAGTGCAGGAAGGACACACCAGGGATGGAGTGATCGTATTTTCTCTGCATTGTGACATTTTCTTTTGTCAAGGCGAGCAGTGCATTAGCAGGTTTCTGATTTTGCTCCACATGAAGTGTCTAAGCAGAGCATCCTCAGACTATTTTCGAGACGATGCCACCCAGAAGCAGCRCAGCTTTCCTCCCCACAGTGGACACATGAGAAAGGCAGAAACGGTGGCACCCGGGAGTAGCTGAGCAGTGGCATTTTGGGCACAGCAGTGGGGTCAGTGAGACCTGCACCCAGCAGTGCATTTGGGCTCTGTCCACCCACCCTCACCTGCTTCTGCACGTTTTATGCCCCACTCGTGTTATTGAACTCCAGCTGTGCAAAGAAGTGGGTTGTTTAGTTTGGTTTTCTTTTCTCAGGCGAGCCCTCAGTGTGTTTTTAAAAGCCCAGGTGTGCACAGAGGGCGATGGGGCACCAGGCTGGGCTCGGTGCCACGGGGTTCAGGGTGCACAGCCACCCTCCCTGCGACCCCCCGAGCTGCCCCTGGCTGGGCAATCCTTGAATTGGGGTGAACGGGAACATCTCGAAGCAGAAGAGCTCTCTGCTCACACTTGTGCTGGTGGAGCCAGCACAGCACCCGTGCTGCTCCTCCACGCTCCAGGCTCAGCCACAAGAGCTCCCAGCCATGAAAGAAGGTGATCCAAGGCTGCAGTGCCCAGCTGCAGGGGTGCTGCAGGAGATCAGGGGTGCTGCAGGAGATTAGGGGTGCTGCAGGAGCTCAGGGGTGCTGCAGGAGCTCAGGGGTGCTGAAGGAGCTGCAGAGGTGCTGCAGGAGCTCAGGGTTTCTCAGGAGCTCAGGGTGGCTCAGCCTCACACAGGTTTTTCCCATCCTGTCTGCAGAGTAAAGCTCTGCGGAGCTCCTGGGTGCCAGCGTGGGGCAGATCCCCACACCACAGACACTGTCGCCTCTTCTATTTCTTGTTTCCCAAAAGGTTTAARGAAAAGAGACGTTTAGCCCCAGATATCTTTATGTGAAAGCTGCCAGCTCCAGCAGGAGCTCAGGCAGAGGCCCAGGAGGAGCCAGGAGAGCTGCACTGGGTCCAGTGGGGTCCAGCACTGTCTGCTCCAGGGCCTGAGCTGGGACAGCTCTGGGGCTGCAGAGACAGAGAGTGAGCCCCTGGGAATGGGATGGTGAGGRTGAGGGTGGATAAAACCCGGGTAAATCCCAGGCCGGTTTCAGAACTGGAGAGATGGGGAGTTTTGCAGCGTGGCTGTGACAAGAATCAGACATGGCCTCCCCCCAGGAGGGCTCAGTCCAGCAGCAATTCCTCAGTAATGAGCTCCAGCCCAKCTGCAGGAGCTGCAGGAGCAGCCAGCGCTGCCCGGCTTCATTACACACTTTTTGTGAGCGGGGGTGGCTGGGGGGGTCACATATTTGCACAAACAATGAGTCCCATCTTCCTTGTCTTGGCAAACAAGGGCTCCAAGAGGCCTCCACATCCTCCATCTCCTCAAGTGATGGCTGCTTTGTTTCCCCACGATAATTTCATTATTCTGTTTGAATACATTTATATGTTGCTAAGCCACACATAGCAACATGGATCTTGTCTCCATGGCCCAGCCTTCCTCTGATCGATACTGAGTAATTCTGCAACTCTCCCCATATTGTGTTAAATGAGACTGGTTTGCTGTCATAAGGAATTTATAAATCTTTGGGATCCAAACGCAGGGATTCAAAGCACAGGGAGAGCTGTCCATGCCAGTCGTGGTCACCAATCTGTGCTGGGTCACCCCTGGTGCCACTTCCTGAGCAATCCCTTGTGCACCCRTGGAGGAGGTGCAGCCCATGTGGCACTGCTTCCTCCTGCCATGGCAGAGCTGCTATTTGCCTTAAATCCCCTTTAAAGGTCCTTGCTCCCCACTCTCAGCCTGGAACGACTGACCAGGCCACAAGAGCTTTCCCTACAGCCTGGCCCRTGCAGGGAGGCTGCTTTGGCTCCCTGCCATAAGAACCATGTTCCTGAGAGCCCCAAAGGGACAGGGAGGTCCTGGCACGGTCCCTGTGCCCCAGACAGGCAGGGCTGGCTGCACCCACAGCCCTGTCCCWGGSTGGGTTTGGGCTGTGCTTTGTGCCAGTGCTCTGCCTGTGCTCCTGCTGCCCTCCCCTGCTGCCAGCACTGCTCACACCTTCTCTCTGCCAGCACTGCTCACACCTTCTCTCYTCTGCTTTAGGTCTCTGAGAAGTTTCTGGGTGACAAGCTGACAACACCGAGGCTCCTCCAGCAGGAAGGAGAGCAGGTCAGAGGAGCTGGCTTCCCTTGGAGAGCTTCCAGCCCGGCCAGAGCTGTTGSCCTGMACTCCTTCCCAAACCAAGGCAGGGRCACTGTGGRGCCACRTCACCGCCAGCACCCCTGGCAGCGCTTGGTTGTGTGCCCTTGTCGCTGATGCCAGCAGAGGTTGTTCAGCCTGGGGGCTGGAGCAGTGGGATGGGATTGTGCCCAGCTCTGTGCCCAGCTCTGTCCATGGCACCGTGCCCAGGCAATGCCCAGCTCTGTCCCGTGAGGATGGACGCACCCCTGGGCCRGGGCAGGGCTGGGGACGGGCTGGGGACGAGCACACACACTAGGGAAGCCAGCAGTGCCTTCAAGCCCTTTCCAAACCAGCTGACATCAAAAGCATCTTCTGCTGCTTAGGACAAAACTCCTCTCTCTGCTCCTCTTGGGTCCCTGCCCGGCCGGCCTGGCCCCGCGCCAGCTGGGAGCTGCTTTCCTTCYCTGCTCTCCTGTTAGTGTTTAGAACATAGAAAATGTGGTGGGGTTTTGCTGATTATGACAGTAAAGAATGATTTCAAAGACAATCTCCTCTCCTTGTTGCGCTGTGTCTGAGGGAAGGGGTTCATGTCCAGCTCTACATGAGCCCAGTGGAGGTGGTTTGGCCACGGTGCAAGGACCAGGACACTGCCCGCTAATTGCCCATAAATGTTGCTGTTCCTGCACTCACTTGCAGAACATTCCAAGAGTCTCTGTGGCAATTCCCAGCCACACTGGCGTCCCCAGTGCCCTGAATCACAGCAGCAGCAGCCCCCTCCTGCAGCCACAGTGTCCCACAAGGGCAGGTGGCACTCAGGAGTGCCCCATGGACACCCAGCCCTGCCCCTGCCAAGCACCAGCCACCAGGACTAGAAASACGGTCAAAAAAAGACAAAGTTTGCAATTTTAAATGAACTGCAAAATTTATTACAGTGGTTTGCTCCTGACAAGGAAGTTGGTAACCTTCTGCTTGGGAAAGGAGGGGAAGGAGAGGGGAAGGGCAGGGATGAGACGGAGGAAAGGATGCGAGAGACAGAGAGAGACACTTAAGGACACTTATCATTTTCTGAAAATAAAACATCTTTTACCTCCCAAACATTTTCTCCAGTTCTTTAAGTTCACGAAAAGAAGGTGAAATCAAACCACAGACTTCAGGAGGAAAATGCACAAACGTGTTAAAGCAGAGACAAACATGCTCTTCTGTGTCTAACAAGCTTCACAAACCGTGCGGCTCCTCAAGGCACCGGCTCTGCAGAGCTGCAGTGTCCCCCGGGCACAGGGACATCCCCTGCCCCAGGGAACAAACCTGAGCCACCCCAGCCATGCTGCAGGAGCCGCAGAGCTGGGGCTCTGTGGGGCAGGAGCTGTGCTGGGCTGCCTGGTGCTGGGGCACAGCAGAGGAGAGCACAGCTGAGACCGAGAGAAAGCAGCAGAGAGAGTCCAGCATGGCCCAGTTTGGGGGCTGAGCCCCCCAGAGCTCCCAGACCTGTCTGTGTGCCCCTGTCCCGTGATGGGAGAGGAGCAGAGAGCTCTTTGCCTGTGGCTTGGCACAGATTTGCTGTYCCTGGGGACACGGCAGAGTCGAGATGGGGCTGGGAGGCCCAGCATGAAGTGCAGGACAATCCTTCTTCCTCCTTGCCCACTCAGCCACTCTGCAGGGGGGCTGCAGAGCTCCCCAAGGCTCCCCAAGCTCCTGGACACAGGGTCCCTCCTGCGTGGCTGCTCTGCCACCGTCTCCTGCAGACTGGACAGAGCTGTGCTGCCCATGGCAGCTSTGGGCACTGCCACAGCCACAAAGCCAGAACTGCTGCCTCCAGCACCAGCAGGCACTAGAAAAACCAACCTCAGCTGAGCATTCAGTGCTGCCCATCCCTGCCCACCGTCTCTTGGCCAGGGCAGCTGCAGGACACAGAGGTGGCAGCAATTGGGGTCCTGGCACAGGGGGTGTGTGGGGTCGGCACGTCCAGCCCAGCCCCAGCATTCCGGGTGCTTCCTGCAGAAATCCTCCACCTCCGTGTGCTCCTGGAGACACCTCAACTGCCATCAAACCACAGCGTGGAGGGGKTCACCTCCCCTCTGTCCTGCCCTGTGCACGAGGGGCCCTGAGACATGGGCAGGGTTGGGGAGGGATGGCAGCAGTGACGAAATGCTGGTGGGGGCAGCWGGAGCGGGGCAGAAATAGGAGAAAAGCCAGGACTGGCTTTAYMRTTCCTTGGTGCTGCTGAGYYRGGCTGGYAAGGGAYGGGTTTGGGCACCAGGCGTGCRGAGGAGCTGGGGGTCAGCGCTGCCAGCGGGRCAGGGTGGCACAGCCCCATAACCCCGGCTGTCCTGGCTGCCTGTGACCCTTTGGGGTGTCCCAAGAGCGGAGGTTGCACAGCATCGCTGAGGAGGGCAGAGCCCCGGGCACAGCCCTGCCCCGCTGGCACCGCTCAAGTCCGCTTGGCGTGCAGCATCTCGATGAGGAGGTTGTTGCAGGGCACCTCCCCGCTCAGGTGTTTGTGGTACAGGTACTCCTCCGCCTGCAGGCTCAGTGCCCGCACCTCGGCCAGCCACAGCAGCAGCTGCCGGAATTTGTCCGTGGAGTGCGGGTAATGCACGGCCGTGTACTCCAGCAGCGCCGCGTTGGCCTTCTCCTGAGCGTCCTTAGCCAGCGGGTGGTTCTCCAGGTACTTCACATCTGCAGGGGGAGGATGGGGTGAAACGGTGCCAAAGTCACCTCTGCGCCCCATCTGTGCCACGCTGTGCTGGGTGAGCCAGGAGGGACCCACACTGCTGGGTCAATGTCCCTCACACACAAAAAACAGCACAGGAGGGACCCACACCCTCAAACACAAAAACAGCGCAGGAGGGGTCCCACACCATCCCTGCCCACCCTGCTCCCCAGGATTCCCCTGCTGAAGGCAGATTCCAAACCCCCTGGCAATAGGATTCGTGTCTCGCTGCCCTCAGTGCCCAGGAAGCTGCAAAGCCAGAAGGTGTTGCCAGCTGTGACAGCTGGGAGTCGCTGCCATCAGCTCTCCTTAATTCCTGAAGGCCAAGGAAGCGGCTGAATTAATTCCCTGATAAACCTGGACTTTCCAATGTGGCAACCAGGCTCACCAGCCTGGAAACCCTAATCCTCTGTGCCTCRCCAGGGCCACAGCAGCTCCCCATAATCCTGCTGCCAGTGGGAGGCAGCTCATCTGCAGTGGCACCGAGGAGCAGGGGGACTCAGCTGTCTCTGCACACAGATTTGGGTGGGTTTAGGGAGCCAGAGCAGGGTCAGCTGTCCCAGCACACAGATTTGGGTGGGTTTAGGGAGCCAGAGCAGGGTCAGCTATCCCTGCACACAGATTTGGGAGGGTTTAGGGAGCCAGGGCTGGGCACTGCCCGTCCCCACCTCCAGCTGCACACAGTGACCGTGCCACACCCCTGCCAGCACAGACCCATCCAGGGCACATGGATTTAGGGGATTTACTGTGCAGGACCAGGTGCTCAGGAGCTCTGCCTCAGTCACGGCTCTGCTGCCCACGGCCCCTGACGCATGGCCGAGGTGCCACTCCCTGGCTGGAAACGGGGACATCTGGGCACAGGTTCTGGCTGAGGCAGTTGGAGTTTGGGGCTCCCTTTCAGGGCCTGTGGGACCCAAGGCTGCCCAGGGGTCAGGGCTGGGGGTCACAGAGCCCCAGCAAGGGGAGGCACAGCTCAGCTGGGCTCTGTGAGCCCCTGGAGCCCCAAGCTCAGCCCATGCCACAGCCAGGACGGGCACTGTGGGTGCGAACACAAAGGGCACAGGTTGTGCCCAAGCACAGTGTATCACATCACCCTTCCCTTTGCACTCTGATGGCAGAYTTGCTCCTATTGTCTCCTGCTACCCGGGTTGTTGTTATGAAATCTCTTTATCTGCATAAGGTTATTGTGCATGTCATTAAAAAAAGAAGTTATATTGATAAATGTCAAATCTATCCCCTGAGTTGGCTCAACAATAGCTAGTTCTACTTGATGAACTCACCTGGTTCTCTGAAAGACCCTATTCACTGTTTAATTGAATATTTGAATAATYTTTTCATTCCTGCAAGGAATAAAGAATGTTGTCCAAATAACATTGACTCACTTCATTTAGAGACACTGCAGCAGTTGCAAAGACTGTCCTGTGACAAAGCCTCCCATCACACATACAGATATGCCTGGGATTATTTCTATGCCCTCAAGTGTTCTTCCTATTCACAGCTCCTTTTGTTTGGGAGAAGCTGCTGATAAATTGCAAACGCTTAAGGGAATGTGGGCTATAAAAGCCTCTCTTCCTCCCCTCCCCAAGAGTAGCTGCTTCATGAATGTAAGTCATGAAATCGAATGATAGGTCAATCCATTAAGGCTCTATTAAGCCCTTCTGTAGAACAAAGCTAACCTGTGCCGTCCTCATAAATATTGCTATTTTGAGAAGCCCTAATTTTAATTAAATCTCTTTACCTGCTCAGGAGAGAAATCTATTTAGAACTCAAATGGCAGCTCTTGTGAGCAGGGCTTGGCTTTGACTGTGCTGTGGCAGAGTGGTAAATGTGGAAATTCTCTTGTTAAAGGCAATTACATCCTGCACATAATACACAATCCTGTCCTCTACAGCTGAGCCTGCGAAGGGCAAATTACTCCAAGTGAGCTCTGCAATATGGAGAGAAAAAGTTGCATTTGGGGCAAAATGATGTATGGGAAAACAGAGCTATTGGATTCCACGGCGTCCCTGAAAGCCGCTGCTCTGGGGGAGCCATCGGGAGGACACTGCTCTGTCTCGCTGTGCTGGGGGACACAGGGGGACACCGGGGACACAGAGGGACACAGGGGGACACAGGGGGACACACGGGGACACAGGGGACACAGGGGGACACAGGGGACCTGGTTCTCCTGGTGCTGAGACCGCGGGGCAGCGGCCAGGGAAGGTCCTGGCTCCGGGCACGAACCCGCCCCCAGCTCCTTCACTCCCCAGCCCGGGCACTGTTTGTGCCACACCTTATCACTGTTTGAGCAGCGAGTTATCGTGCCTCTTTCCTCTGGATTTCTAAACAGCTCCGGAGGAAAGGAAAGCTGAGGGAGGAGATGCTGCAGGTGCAGGACAGGATAGCAGAGCTGCTCCCACCTCTGTCTGTGCAGGGACCCCGCGGTGCGGAGGGGTAAACACAGAGCAGGACTGAGCAGGGACAGGGCTGGGGACATGGATGGGGACAGGGACAGGGCTGGGGACACGGATGGGGATGGGGACAGGGCTGGGGACACGGATGGGGATGGGACAGGGCTGGGGACACGGATGGGGACGGGACAGGGCTGGGGACACGGATGGGGACGGGGACAGGTCTGTCACAGACATGGGGGGCTCACCATGCCACAGCCAGCCCTCAGCAGCCGCAGGGACCCCGGGGGCAGGGGTGGCAGAGCTGCTCTGCCGCTCCAGGGGCGGTTCAGGCTCCGGGGTTATTTAGTCTGGGTGAGGTGGGAGCGTGTGAAGCCGCCGCTGTGCCCGACCGCAGGCTCCGGGCTGAGCCCGATGGGGAGCGCWGAGCCCCGGGCTCGCCGGTCCTCTGACGCAAATCCCGGCAGATAGGGCTGCTCGGGCCGCGGCCGCCTCTGTCAACACGCCTGTTTTCCCTCAGCCRTATCAGCGCTTGTTTCCCTGCCCGCTGTGACGGGAGAGTGACCAAAACAGGCTGCTTTTGGCCGACAGGGTGACAATGTCCCTGCGGCTGTGGAGCAGAGTCCAGCCCYGCATGGGACACGTTTCGGATCCCCGGTGAGGGGCGGACAGGCAGTGCCGGCTCACACTTCTGGCTCCTCCAAAGGGTTAAAAGCCCCTTTGTCACACAGCGGAGCCTGGGCTGTGTGTCCCCTCCAGCCCAGACCCTCGTGCAGCAGCACAGCCGTGACCCCAAAGCAGCCACCCCACTCCCCAGGGCCCCCTCACTGCACTCACCGAGGCTGAAGAGGATGAGGAACTTGAGGCAGACGAATTCGTGCCGATCCACCTGCAGCGAGTGCAAGTGCAGGACSAGCTCCTGTGCCCGCAGCACCAGCGTGTGCAGGATGGAGCCGGCCTGGGCTGCGATGGCTGACATGTCCACCTGCGGGCACAGGGAGACCGTCAGCCTTGGCACAACCCCAGCACCCCAAAACCTGCTGCAGGGCACCCCACACAGGGCAGGGGGCACGTCCAGCCCTGGGCACTCACTGAGAATTAGGGGTGTCAAAGCAAAGACTGATGAGTGGAACAGGAACACTGTTTGAAACAGGGGCCCTTCACAGAGTGCTGGAATTGAAGRCACCACATCCCCAAAAGCCACCCCAGGATGGGAAGGGGCCCGTCCTCACATCCCACTGCAGAGAGTACACATGGGGCTATTGATCTTTCCATAAGAAACATTATTGTGCACAACCAGGAGCCGTGTGACAGGACAGAGTGGGAAGGGACAGGATGGGACAGGATGGGACAGGATGGGACAGGACAGCGCAGGAAGGGACAGGACAGGGCAGGATGGGACAGGATGGGACAGGATGGGACAGGATGGCACCTTCTGCACAAGCAGACCCACAGTGTAACACCACCACCTGTCTGCCCTATGCCACATTGGCCACACTGAGATGAAAAAAAAGAAAAAAAAAGTCCCACTGTTCCTCCATGCAGCCCCTGCCAGCCCCCACTGCCCCTCCAGGGCACCACCACCATCCCAGAAGCCGATTGTCACCTCCTGGCCGGTGACCAGCAGCACGCTGTGCTCCTTGCCATGCTGCAGCTGCCGGTAGACGTGGTCGAACACCAGCAGCTCACTCCAGCAGTTCTGCAGCAGCTTCATCTGGTCACCCACCTGAAAGAGAGAGGCAGCAGCACGGTGACACCCACATGCTGCACCACACAGCACCCACCCTGMGCCTGGCAGAGCTCACACGGGACAGGGGTGCCCTGGGGTGGGCACGGAGAGCAGGAGCTGCCCCCCAGAAAGGGGACCCTGGGCTGGAGGAGAGGACATGGGCAGGTGGCTTTCCAAAGCTGGCTCCAAACCAGCTCAATGTGTTTCAGTGGCACTTGTTGGTTCTTATCAGCACGGGTCTTCCCCCACCAGGCACAACCTCCCCAAATCRCACACACAAATTTAACAAAATGACCGCAGGAGGGACACACAGTGGCTGCACAAAGGGCCTGTGTGTCCAGACAGCCCCTCTGGATACTTTGAAATGAAGAAAACAGTGCCCATGCTCGACTCGGTGCCCGGGTGGCAGGTTTGGGGGAGCTGTGCCCTGCAGCTGCCAGCMCAGCCCTGCCCACACACCAACACACGCGTCATCACGGGCACTTGTACCAGTGTGTGTGCCCAAAGAAACACCTGGGATGGTCCCTGTCACGGGGGCACCAGCTGGAAGGGTCCCCAAAGCTCCCACAGGGCACTGGGGACTGCAGGCAGCACAGTGCCCGGCGGGATGAGCAGAGCCAACATAAAATCCCCTCCAGGCCCCTGTGCCAGAAGCTGTGGCAGGGTGCAGGGCATGCTGCTGTGCTGGCACAGAGCTGAGCTGCCTTCCCCACTGCCCTGCCAAGGAGCAGCACGGGTCCCCAGCTTCATCCCCTCRGCACTGCTCTCCAGGGAACCCCAACTCCTTTCCACAAGGAGCTCAATTCCTGCCCTGCCTGGAGCCCCAACTCCTGCAGGGCAGTGCAGAGAGAGGGTTGGGATTGCAGTGCTGCCTCTGCTGCCTTCCTGCACAGCAAATCCAGGGCCAGCATTGAGCTCTGCAGGGCCATTGTGCTCCCCCTTTAATAGAGGGAAGACAGATGCAGCATCACAGGGCTGGATAATGCCCTCGTTTTGCTGAAGAGGCTGCAATAAACCCGTGCTGGGAGATTGCAAAAGGAATAGAAGCCAGATGAGAAAGAGCTTTATGGTCTCRGAGCCGGCGCTCCCCTCGAGCCGCTGGGATTTGTCTCTCGAGTGCAGTGGGTGGCCAGAGCTGGCCGTGTGACATGGGCTGGGGGACAGTGACAGTGGCACCAGTCCTGCCCAGTGGCACCAAGCTGGCCGTGGGCACTGCTGAGACCGTGCTCACCTCATCCCCAGCCAGGGCTGCAGCCACAGCTCATGGCCCTGCACTGCAGAGCCTGAGACTCCTGCCCAGCTGCCCAACAAAACACGGGAAAAAAGCTCATTCTGCCCTGTAGAAAAATGGAGAGTTTCTGTAGTGGTGACCCTTCAGAAGGCGAGTGGCCGGCTGTGACGGTGGCCAGAGCCTGTGGGAGCCAGGGCCAGCCCAGCTGCACGATCCTGGCCAGYGTCAAGAGCCTCTGCTCTGGCTCAGTCAGGCCGTTGTTTTGGAAGTTCTTTCCTGTGCCTCATTCCTGAGCGGGATGAGCTCCAGAAGAGACAGACAGAAAGTTTTGCCTTGAAAACCGTTTTTAAAAATTAGCTTTTCCAAAGAAAGCCTTTCAACAATTTTGAAATCTTATTTTCTCCCTTTTAAAAATTGCTAATCAGCTTCCCCCAAACTCCGTGTGGGGTTCTGGTCCCTCTCCAGAGCCCCTCAACACATTTCCCYCTGTGTGGCTGCTGCAGGGCCGTTCCCTGGGCAGCACCGTGGAGCGTACAGTGCACCAGAGCCACATGGCCATGGCACGGGGAGGGTGTGCTTGGGGGCATTTTGGGGTGGGGTGGACTGGGTTGCTGTCCCAGCAGCAAGCTGGGTGGCAATGGGTACTGGGCAGCCCCYCAGTCCCGCTCTGCTGTGGGGGTTTTGGGCTGGGGCTGCTGTCTGTACCCCACTCCAGCCCCCAGCACAGCGCTGCTAATGGAGGGGCACTCAGAGGCAATCAATCCTCCCGGCGAGGCGGCAGCACACACGCTCTCGCCGTTAAAAGTTAAGCAAAGGATCTTCCTCTTTTAATGTCAAGGCTTTTCCACAGAGTGCTTTATCAAGGGCCTGATGCAAGCTGTCTTTGAGAGGCAATTTTTTCTCTTTTTTTTTTAAAGCGAGCATTTAACCCATTCACAAAACATGCAGTGAAACCCTCCCACACTGGAAGAGCAATCCTTGATGGGCTGCAACCCACAGAAAATGCAGTTCTCTGTGGGCAGGAGCCTGGGATGGTGCAGAGGGGAGGCAGGGCGTGCAGAGGGATGGTGCTGCTCGGGCACAGGGCTGAGGGATCTCCATGTGGGTGTGGTTCACCCCTGCAGCCCTCCCTGAGGGTTCAAATGTGCAAGGTAGTCCCTGAGAGTGTTGGGGCTCCCCAAAATTTGGGGAGGCCACATGGGGACAGTGCAGTCCCGCTGTGCTCTCCACTCCCTGCACGGCCAGTTTGGGGCATCCCCTGCTCCGGGAACCAGTGCTTTGGGAAGGAGAGTGACCCACCAGCTGTCCTGCTTTGGCAGGAAGCCCTGARCTGGCTCAGGACATCCACCACCAGCCCCAGGAGCACTGGGATGCCCCCAGCCTGCCCCCCAGGCCTCCTCCCAGATCCCAGGGGCAGGGTTTGCCTCACAGCACTCCGGGCAGGTGCATGGCACATTCAGCATCCCAAGGCGTAGCCAAGGCAATCCTTGAGCACAAGCAGGACTCAGGACTCATCCCCTTGGCTACTGAGAAGGGCAAAGGTGGATCAGCGTCCTTCAGCCACCCGCAATCAAAACCCCACACATGTCCAAGGTCCCCATTGCCCTGACCAAACAGCACCACAATAGGCATCTTAAAACAAATACCCATCAACACCAGTGTGCCCAGAGCAGGATCCCAGCTCCCTGCTGGCCCCATGCTGCTGCAGCCCCTCAGTGCAGGCACATGGCTCTGCAGGCAGGGGAGCCTCACATTTCCCCCAGTGCATGGGATGCTAAACATTGCTGTCCACGAGCAGAAGGAGATTTTAAATCTGCCAAAAACGCTCTGGCCATCAGCCAKGAGATGGGGTCAAGATGACCCACATGTTAAAGGCAGAGAAGCAACTGACTGCAAATAGGCTTTGTCGTGGTTCTGGAATCTCTAAGCACGACGGAGGGAGAGCAGCCCMGAGACAGACCCAGAGACTGCAGAGAGCCCTGGCTCCGTGGGAACGCTGCTCCCTCAGCATCCTCCCATCACTGGAGCTCGCCTGTGGATAGGAGGGTGTTTGCCCCAGCCCTTGGCACAAAGGGGCTGAGGAGGGGTTCAGCATCCTCCTACCATGGCTGTGCCGTGCCCCTCCAGCAGCGCAGGGACCCACCGCACACCCAGCCCAGCCTGGCCTTCGGGCTGRAACCGTGGCAATTTGTTTAACATTCCTGGCTGCTCATCCCAATCTAAAGGTCACCGCAACCCTGTGTACACAATATTGATATGTAGGTATGGCAGTGACACCTACACAAACCAGGCTGTGCAGATGTGMGTGTGTAAACCACACCAAACCAGACATAAAGTGAGCGTGCAAATGTGTGTTTTGTGCCCGTCCCTCTGTCTGTGTCCCTCCATACATATATAAAAAAATTACATCTGAAAGGACAAAGTTGCCTGAGACTCACGACCCAACAAAATATATTTCACCCCCGGCCCATATTTTTCTTCCTGAAAAGATGCTGCAAATCTTCCCTCAGTCCTGACACATCTCATCTAGACTCAGTTAAAGTTCGTATTTATGGGCGTCAGCGCTGACCTCTTCCACCTCCGCCCGCGCGGCCTCGCGCCGTGGCTGCCTGGCCGGCCCTCGATAAACAAGCGGGCCCCCAAATCCCCTCTGCCGTGCAGCGTTATTAGTCTTGCCTCCGAAGGCCAGCGCAGTCCGTAATTCTCCTGCTGGTGACACGAGATGAGCGCCGCGACATCAGTCTCCCGGCGGATTGGCATGGGGACCCTCGTTTGTCAGTGGCAGACTGACAGAATTACTGGCCCTTAAATGAAACGATATATCTGGGAAGTTAAATCTGTTTTCAATCTGACTGCCCCGCGCCTGCGGGCGGACGTGGCGTGTGAGCCGATGTCAAGAGGCCATTAGCCCATGGCCCCCTCCTTCCCTGGGCGCAGTGCTGGAGCCAGGGGGGCTCTCCCCGATGTCCCCCAGCCCAGCCAGGAGTGCTGGAGACAGCAAAGCACCCACTCTGCCTGTCTAGATTGCTGGGGTGGGAATAGGAATGGGAACAAGACTGGCCAGCTCCAGGGAAAACTGCTCCCRCTCTCCCTGGGCAGGGACAAAAGGCTTGTGAGGCATGAGACAGTAGTTCCCCACGTCCCTGAGGATTTTTCTTCTCCAGGCTCCCTCTGAGGCCCCAGGGAGAAGCCAGGTTTCTGAATGGCCCTGTGGAAGCAGCATGGGGGTGCTGGGAGGGYTCAGGCAGGGCAAGCCACGATGGGGCAATGTGCCCACACCTCCCCTTCTCATCCCATCCCCGWGGTGTCAGCCTGGCATGATGCCCTGGAGGGGTGTCCAGCACGGTGCCCTTCCAGCTGGATCCCCACCCTGGCCTCAGCCAGCAGCCCTTCCCTGCTGGGACTGGGGCCGTCACCTTCACACAGCCCTTCCYAGGAGAAGGAGAGGGCTCCTGGCATCCCTGCTCCGAGGAGCCCCCAGCACCCAGCGGGGACTGCCGGCGCCATCGATCTCGGAGATTGCGATGTTCCTCCGTGCTGCTTTAGGGCAGAGCCATAAACTCTGCGCCAGCACGAGTTCATTTACCGCCCCGGCAGCCGTTGGCTTTTATGTGCCAGGCAGGAGCAGGAACGGGGATTCGGGATCTCAGATCAATTCCTGCTCCCACTGGCTGCTCTGAGGAAAAGCCACCACCCTGGCCAGGGAGAATGCACCGTGCGGGGTGGGCAGGGGACAGCCAGGGGACACCAGGGACACCAGGGACACTGGGGACACCGGGGACACCGGGCACCTCCGCTCTGTGCTGGGGCTCTGACAGGAGGGAGCCAGGATGGGCTGTGGTTGCTGCAGTTCCTGTGAAATGCTGGCAATGCACCCCACAATCACCCTGTGCATGAAGGCAAAAGGTGTGATCTACCAGGATGGCAGCGATGGGACCAAACCCRGTGTCCTGAGCATGTCCTGCTCCCAACAGGACACCGGGAGCTCTGTCCAGGTGAGGCTGGTGGCACTGCCATCCCCCCCAGAGCCCCTGGCAGGAGGAGCACCCACCGACACCGATTCACACAGGAACAGCCTATTTTGGTGGCGCAATCAGGCTGACAATGGAGTTACAAGGCTACACAGCAATACAGCTGGGAACTGGATTTACACTGTTTACAATATCTCCTGCAAAACAACAACCACCCTGTTCCCAAAATCCAGGCTGGACACTGATATGATTSAAACAAGCCCACCCCACCCCCACAATGCCATTTCCTGACACTGTTCKGGCAGCTGGGGGTTATTTTGAGCCACAAGGTTTGGCCACACTCAGCCCCATGGCACCCATAGKGCAGGGAAGAGCCTGACCCTGTCCCATTGCACAGTCCCACTGGAAGAAGGTGATTTTGGTCAGAGCCAGGGAGCATAGCATCCTGCTGGAAACAAGAGAAAGCACCTGAGTCTCACAGGTGCCCCAGGACATTGCTCTCTGGGTTTGGCCATGTTGCAAAATTTTATCTCCCATTTTTGCACCAGTTTAGGATCTTAAGTCAGCCCAGGACATGAATGAAGAATTTCTGAAAGCTTGGCAAGGTGTGCAGGATGGCAGAAGCTGCCCCAGCCCTGCTGCCCCAGGCCTGGCCCCAGTCAATGTTCAGGGGCTCTTGCTAGAGGGGATCTCTTGGCAGGATGGAGGTCAGCTCTGTGTCCCCCATGTGAGCACACTCATGGGCTGCTGGCAGCAGACRTGGCTCTGGAGAGAGCTCAGGGGTGTCCCCTGCCCCAGCCTGGCTCTAACAGGACCCACCTGACCACATCAATTTTCCTCCTAAAGGCGGAGGAGAGAATTRTCTCAACTATAATTCCTCAACGTTACATTTTTCAATTATATCTTGAGCTTGACACCACAGTCACTCTGCCGGCGATTGCCTCAACACCTGCCCCYGGGCGTGATGAATCTGAAATCATCAGCCCCACACAACAGTGGGAATCGCTCCAGGATGGGCCCTGGTGCTGGGAGCAGGACTGGGATGTGCCAACAGATCTGCAGYGATGGCCCTGGGTTTGTCCTCACAACATTTCACCCTCAATCCACAGACACATCRCAGCAGCCTCAATCCTGCCTGCCTCTGCTGTCCCCCCACCCATCCCCACCGACAGATCCTACCTCCAGCTCCTTGAAGAAGATGCAGCTCCGTGCCCACTCCACGATGGAGAAGAGGGTCTGGTCAGCCATCTTGCACATGAGGCCAAAGGTGCTGAGCTTCTCGTGCCGCCCTTTGCCCTGCTCCTGCTGCAGGCAGGACAGAATCCGCGCCTTCACCTGCGCCTCGTCGGGCTCCAGCTGCAGCAGCTTCAGGATGACCTCGGGGATGTCAGGGGGGGAGCTGCCGGGGTAGGTCTCTGGGTACATGTAACTGGGCACGGACTCGTGGCCGTTTGTRTAGTGGTCGGGGTACTCGGATTTGATGGTGCGGTTGGGGAAGGAGGGGTAGTGGTAGCCGGGCAGCGGCGCGTGGCCGGGCACCGTCATGCCCAGGGCCGGCGTCCCGTAGGGGCTGCGCTCGTAATCCACGGGCGTCAGCGCCGCCGGGTTGGGCGGCAGGGTCTTGGACATGGCGTGGATGCTGTGGATGGTGGAGGACAGGCTGTAGTCGCTCTGCACCGGGGACATGATCTGAGGCACCGTCTCCAGCTTGAAGCCGTTGGCACGGATCAGAGCTTTCTTCTGCTGCTTTAAGGCACGGTCCCGCTTGTACATGGGKCCAAACTTGTTCCTCCCTCCACGCATCCGATCTGCACGGACAGCTGGGGACAGAGAGAGGGCAGAGGCTGCAGTGAACCCACACGGAGAGAGACCAGGCTTCCACAGGGCACAGAGAAAATGCTGGCAGACATAACTAAGTGCCAAAAAGGGTTTGGGGGGCACTGGGGAGACCTTCCCAGAAAGCCAGCGGCAGGTTGTGTCACTCCCAACCCAGCCAATGTCACCCTCAGAGCTTCTGGGGACTGCAGGAAAGGAAGAGACATTTGGCTTTCACCACAAAGAGAGCTGGGACACAAAGCAGCTTTCATCTGCTGTGGGTTGAGGGGACAGCCCTCACAGCCTGAGCAGAGGAGGGGGTTTGACACCCACTTTAATTTTAGCAGCCCCTGTCACTGGAGCAGYTCTGGCATTTCCCAGTTTCTGCAGAGCCTGGGACCCCACAGCCCCCTCGGGACCCTGGTTCCCTSCATCCAGGCTGCACTTTCTGCAAATCTCTGCCCCTTTGTCGGGCAGCCCTGGCAGGGTGCACTGGCCCCAGGCAGGAGGCTGCTGGCCCTGGGGGTGCCAGTCTCAAAGAGGGCTCTCCCGCTGGCACAGTCCCTCTGATGGCTGCAGCAAAGTAGATGTTCCCATCAAACACCCAAAGAAAACCAAGGATCTGCCAACATTCAGGGGAGCGGGGACTTCTCTGCAGCAGGACCATGTCCCCCTGCACCGCCTGGCTGTGCTTTCTGCCCTGGCATCCCCTTGGGAGAGCCTCAGATCGCTGCAGGGCAGGAGCTGGGGGCTGCACGGCAGWGAGCATCAAAGGCAAAAAGCCTCTGCTAGTTTGTGTTCCTGCTGACAGCCAGCGGGTCTTGCTTTGAGTCTCAGTTTTTACCTCTGCCTTTCTTTTGCCTACTTGTCCTGGGGCGCACGGCCAGCCCCTCCGGAGAGCTGGAGCACCACCCCAGCGCTCCCAAGGCAGGCTGCAAAGGCGGGAGCGTGGCCGRGAGCAGCAGCATTTCCAGGACGAGCAGGAATGCGCTCCCAGGAGAGCCGCCCTGGCTTCCTCCTTCATTCTTTATTCATGAAAACAGCATCTCGCTGGGAGCGGGCGGCCAGCGGCAGCCTCTGARGAGAGGGGTGATGTGGCCCCCCGCTCCTGAGAGCCGGCCCACGCCCCTCTGGGCAGCAGAGAGTGTCCGGGGCAGCTCCTGACTCAGCCTGCGAGGGAGGCGGCCGCACTCAGGGCAAGCACACGCYCCAGCCGGGGTCCCACGCAGGCACACAGGCTGGGCTCTGGCAGCGCCTGCCACATATCCCTGAGTCAGAGCACACCGAAAAACAAATCTTACACCCACTCGAAGCGATATGTTCCCACCAGTGCTCGATTTTGGACCCACGGATGTCCAGGGATCACATCCCAAACAGACCCCTGTGACCCTGGGCAAGGGGACTCTCCTGGTGCTGCCTTTGCCGCCCCCCATACAGAGATGTGTTCACAGTCCGGTCTTTCAAACCCTCCAGAGGTAACTGCATACACCTCCTCCCCTCTCCCAGCAAGAACACACAGGGAGAAGAGGCCTTTTAATTCTCTCCTGCTCTGCGTTCCCTGTCATTTTTACCACACTTGGGATTGGGAACAATTTGCTATTTGTTGTGCCCTAACTGACAGCCAAGAAGCAAATGATGCACCCTGACTCCCAGGGCAARGGGACCCAAGTGGAGCCACCCAGGAAGTGCCTGCACCTCCAACAAACCCCTCAAAACCTTCWGCAACAAACCCCCAAGCCACACACYCTCACAGCAGGAGGGGTCTCCAGCATCCTGCAGGATCTTTTCCCAATCCCACTGCCTCGCCTGCTCATCCCAGTTCCGAGCCCTGCCTGGGACAGGCTGCTGGTGGGTTCTACCTCCCTTTGGCCACCTCCCTTTGCCTGGGCAAGGACGAGGAGGATGCCAYGGGTTGTGTTTGCAGGCTGTGGGCAGCCTCGGGCCAGGGCTGTGCTGCTCTCCCTGAGAAAGCTGCGCTGCCACCACCCTTCAGGCACTTTGAGGGGTGCCTGTGTTAACACTGCTCCCAAAATCAATCACCTCGGCATTGCTCTTGCGGTGTGGACCTGCAGACACCTCTAGAGCAGCACCTCAGAYGCCTTGCCCAAAAATACTAGGAGCTGAAAAAGGTGGTCTCTTTTTTACCACGAAAGAGACGGTTCCACGGGAATAYCGCCCTTGGCTGGGGGATTGCCTTGTCTGCCCAGCTCTGTTAAGGATCCAACAGCAGGAAAACACACAAGAAAAGGCTGTTGGGACGGCTCTGGGACTAAWGCACATTGAACACGGCAAAAACTGCTGAAAAGGGGCAGTTTGAGACCTTTTCCCCCGTGCACCCCAAGCACTGTCCCTGCCCACCTGTCGTAGGGTCCCCAACYCCTGTCCAGCACCCAAATCCCCTTGCGACATCGATCAAAACTGCCAGAGCATGCACCAAGGGATTTAGGGCACCAGTAACGCCAGCCCAGGGAGGAGAATGGAACTGGGATCTGTTTGGAAGCCAGCCCACGCCAGGAGTTCGCAGGGAYTGAATCTGCAGCTCGATGTTGTGTCTTACTCCTGCGCTTCTGCTCTCACCCCGCTCCCGGAGCGAGCGGCCGCGCTGCCAGAACGTGAAGGACTTTTCGATTAACC